CTGTTAAAATCTTAAAGTGTTCTTTTTCTGTTTCAGATTGTTAATCTTAAAATTTGTTTGGCTATCCATAGAACAGTATTAACCTTGCGTTTTTATCAACAAAGTACAAAAGAGCAAGTTAACCCTATAATTGTAATTCAAGAATTTGCAATGTACAAGAAATATTTTAAGCATATCAATTAAACTTAATTCAATTTAAAACATATATTTATCAAATAGTTAGAATTTTTAACTTGATTTTTCTTGTAAAAATCTCTTGATGTCTGATAAAACACAATTGCAGTTTTTCTGGCTTGCAGGGTTTTTTTTTTTTTTTTTCTTTTATCTATTTTGTCTTTCAGAGTTTTTCTACCTAATTTTAATCCATCAGAGATTTATTTTCTCATTTTAGTTCTGAGTGCAAGCCCTGTTCCATTTTCTGAGTCCATGTTTTCTCATTTGCACCCTCCAGTGCAGTAAAGCTAAACAATTCTGTTTTTGTCCCCACCTATTCCACACCTTCTTAGCAACTCAAATGGGGCAGGGGATAGCTTGATTTCCTCCAAAGGGGAAACACTGGAATTTGCCTGTCTCAATGTCACATTTTCTGAGAGGCAAGTTTACCACGGGAAAAACAGCAGATTTAACAAGCAGGAGTTCTAAGACTAAAACTAAATAGTTCTCACTAGCACATGATTAACAAGGAGCAGAAGCTTGAGCAGCTCCTAGAGCACTCAAGTCTCCAAGTTGTTAAAGTCTCAGGTAAGCAAAACAAAGGCAGATAATTTCCCTTTTGTCTAGAGTTGTCCTGGGGGAAAAGTCTGGCTTAGCTGAGACCAAGATGACTCACAGAAGTTTTTTGGTTTTTTGTTTGTTTGTTTGTTTTTGTAAGCATCTTTGGTTGCAGTTTTATCCTATAGTCCCCCACAAAATCTTTATCAAAATTCTGAATTATGCACTTAAGAACAGTTGGTTTAGTATTAGCATTCCCCAGGACCATTAGATATTCCCCTGTCCAGTGACACAAGACAAAAGGGTGGGGTGCCATTCCAAAACACAGCCTCATTCACTCGTCAGCCCAGCCCTGAGCTTCCCAGTTCCCCCCAGCCCACCCCAAAGAGTTTCCCATCCAAGACTCTCCATTTTGTCCTTTTTAAGTGTGGCCAGACTCGCAGGACTGACCCACACAAGCTCTGCAACGCCAGGAGGGCTCTTTAAGCGCAAGCGCCCCCTCCCTTTGTTTTGGTGTACAGACGAGGCTACCAATGGCTTTTGTAGCTCGTTTTATTCACTCTCCTAACCACGTCTCTTTCATACACACAGTCACACAAGAGGTTAATACATTCCCTCCCTGGGGCCCCTTCCAAAGACAAACTAGGAAGCAACCCAGGGGATCTCACCATTCAGACAGAGGATTTTATCCATTCGCCTTTTTTTTGTTCTACCAGTGAGCTGGCCTCCACGTCCTAGAAAGGGAACCCAGGAAATCCCGAGGGCGCACCTCTTCCCTTCCGAGGAGGTGGACAGTCACTCCCTCTGGGGGGAGGGGGGACTCAGGATGAGGCCCAATAGGGGCTGTGTCAGTTAGCTCCTTCCTTCCCCCAGGAGAATTTGACTCCGTATTCCTCTTCCTGCTCAGGGAAAAAGCCAATTTAAAATTAGTGAGAAAGCAATCCAGCGGGGTGTTTTTTGAGCTGGATCTTTAGAATTTTCCTTTTCTTTGGTGACCAATACCAGCTCCAGCAGCTGTGAGGGCAAAAGAGGTATTAACCAGAGAGGGGGGTTATTTATCAAATCTTTCCAAACGACAATGTAAGGGATTTGATCTGGGTGACCCTGCTGAGGATAGAAAATAATTCTTTTAACCTTTTGTACTCTCCTCAGATATAATGTTCCACTGTTAACAAAAGAATGAAACCAAAACTAAGGCAAATTCCTCATTTGATCTGCAAATGAGACTGAAACTAAGGCAACTCTCTTCGTTTAATCCGTGAACAGCACCGGCACCAAAGTGTGGGAGTGACCCACTTTGCCTTTACAAAAAAACCCACATTCAATCCACGAATGCTGCGTTCAATCTGCAAACGCTCCCAGAGGGGTCTGGAACGTCTTCCACCACCCCGAGACATCCACGGTTGCCACAACCCAAAAGTGGCCCCTCCCCGCAAATCTTCCTTGCAAGGACTCCTTCGTTTGCGAACGAAACAAAGAAACAAAACAAAAACAAACAGACAACAAAGACAAATTCTCACTCATCCAACCTGTCTTTCTCCTCCCGATTGAGTCCTGGGGTCTTGGGGGATCCTGGACGAGCCCCCAAATGTTGTGCCCAGATCACGAAGTCCCCAAAGACCACCAAGGAGTCAAGTCCGATGTAAATGCACAAGGAGTTTATTGCAAGCTCCAGCCTGGACCCTCATACCTCACCAAGTAATCAGATCAGAAACAACAGCCCCGACCCCCTTCTAAGGCATAATTTTATAGAGTTTGGGAGGCTTGAAATCCTCTCTTTTTCATTGGTGCTATCTCCTACTTCTTATTCCTATTGGGTGTTGTTGGGGCACCTGTGAAAGCAGGAAGAAAACTATTTCAGGCTGGGGAGGGAGCTAGTTCAGGGAGAGGTCAGTGTGTTTCCCTTATCTATACAGAACCTCCTGTCTTTCTTCTCTGTAAATTTATGGTTTCTTTTCCCAGCTATCTGGCCTTGCCTTTATCTCAACTAAGCAAATTCCTGCTTGAGTTCATCTAGGAGTCACATTTAACATAAGATGGCTTTCTGTCTTAAAATTGAGTTACTTTGGTTTCTACACCATTAGGGTAAAATTCACTATGTCCACATGGATTCATTGGGGCAATTACTAATCTGATCTGCACAGGTTGTTGGTGATGTGGCCAAAGGACAGAAGGCTCATTATTCTCATCACTGCCATCTTAGAGTGGACTTGGCATTGCTAAAATAAAAGGTAATGCTTTTAATTCTGCCAGGAGTCTAGTTTTTTTTCTCAAATTACCAACTAAAGCTCACCTAAAAAGGATCACCTATAAAAGTGTTTGAGAATAGTTTCTCTGGTGAGATTAAACTATAACAGTATATCAGATCATAATGATATAACAGACAATGTGAAATAGGAAGAAAGGGGCTAAAAGTGTAGGAAAAGTGGGAAGTGTAGGGGAAAGGGAATAAAGAAAAGAAAAAATGAAAAAATAGAAATGAAGTGTTTGTAAGGTGGGGGAGGAGAAGTGAAGGGAGGGCAGGGACAAGGGGAAAAAATGAGAACCAAGACCTATCATGTAAAGGTACAGATCCCAATAATGAATGTAACTGTACTGTATACCTAAAATGCACCAATAAACTCAATGAGGGGAAAAAAAGTGTTTGAAAGCATGGTTCAAAGTGATTATACAAACAAGGCACCAGTAGAACAATTTTTATTTAGTTCCTTTATTGTCTGAGAGACTATTCTAATTTATGGATTTACGATATTAATACTAGGAATTGGCAGACTCAGATTATTGAGCAAAAATCAGAAATTAAAATATTGTTAGAAAACTCTCCACATGTAGAAAGAAAAAAGTACTATTGAGTATTGAACTAGCTTGTGATGCAAATCACACCAGTCTGCTCACTAGATTACAAACAAACCCCTCTTTTACACAACCAAGAAGACTCATGTATGTATCCATCACACACATCTCAAGAAAATGGGTAACTTGTCCTCATGTAAGGTGACATGACAGTTTGCTAGGCAGTACGTTGTTTTATAGTTAATCTTAAATTCGCGTGGTCATTGGCTATCTGTGTTAACTAATTGCCTTTGACTAAGGAATACATGCAGTTGGTTGCAAGCAAGGGGCCTAGGCTAACCTTCCAAAGCGCCAAGGAGATTGGGCACTGCCTTCCTAGATGCTTACTCCCTCTCCCCACCATCCCCACCACCACCATCACCAACGCACACATACATTTACATTTTAAAGAAATGGCTTCTGGGCTCTCAAGAAAAGTTTTCCTGGGTCTTTACAAAGATTTGCATACTTATGAAAAGGAATAGCAGCTTTCACAAATATTTGGTTTCTCAAAAAAACAGGAGGGCTCTTTCCGTTTGACAACAGGGAAAAATCATGACTTTAACTTACTCTCACATTAGTGTTTTATCAAACAAGTCCTTTATGGTCTTTTACAATGCACGTGGAAAGATTCTCCTTTGGCTAGAGGTAAAGTGATACACGGCTACAGTTACTCGGTGTTTGTGAACCTGCTCTCTACCACGATCACGAAAAAGATTTCTTTGTTTTCATCCTCGAAGGTTCACTTCCGATTCCCTTCCTCAAACCAGTGTCACGTTGGGTCCTTCATTCGCGTTCAACTTTCAGGCCCTTTCGTAAAGAACCATTCCCCCAGTGTGAATCACCCACAGTGAGCAGGTCAGGGACAGGAAAAGCGGATGTTCAGGTCCTAAGACTTTCCCATAAGCACCGGGAATTTCCAAATAGAAGCCAAGTGCAAGACCAGACAAGGCTAGAAGAGCTCTGAAATCTGTCCC